GATGGCGCTGCCTTGCAACTTAAGAATGGCTAGAGGAATTTCAACGCGGCCGTCAATGACCTCCATCTATCAAATGTCGCTAGAAAAGTACGGTTTGCAAAAGAAAACTTGGAACCCTTTTTTAGCACTCAGGTAATTCTAGAATAAAAACCAAACATTTGTAAATAAACAATAACAAATATTGATAATTAATATTGGTTGATATGTATTTTTTCATTTATTGAGCTTTGGCTATGCATTCATTTTGATAACCTAAATCGTCAACCAAATGTCACTTTAAGTAGCGTTCAGAAACTCGATTTAAAACTTTAGTTTACATAAAGGATGCATGTTCGTATGTGACCTAGTAATAGTACTCCGGCGGTAATGCACTGATGAGCGGAATTGAAGAGCTAGATTCTAATTATTTTTTTTCTCACAGTCTTAATAAATAAATATTATTAAAAATCGTTTTTTTTATTATCTAAGTAAATAAATTTTATTAAAAAAAACAGATGTTTTTTTCTTACTTAATCTTAGTAAATAAGTTTTATGAAATAAAAACATTTTTTGTTCACTCTACCTATTTGGTTTGAATTGACAGCTATGACGTCACAATATGGTGCACAGTCGGTCCTATTCTTAGTTGAATCGCATTATACGCGTTACGCGAAAAATGGTGACGCTGTGGACGTTTCAACCGAAATTACCCCAATTTTGTAGAAACACTCTTTCCTCATTATTTAATCTAAAAGTGTGATATATCCACATGTTCCTCAAGATTTACCCGTGTCAGTGATGTGAATAGTTTTATATGTGATACAAATAAAAACCCCCCAAAAAACACGTAAAAGTCCTTACCGGTTATTTTTATTTTATTTCTTTTGTTATGTTTTTCTAATCTTAGGGTTTTCAGATATATTTATTTATAAGAAATTACTGTAAAAAAATTGCAAACATTGGAAAGGTAAGGATTGTTGATAAAAACCAAGCCTGTATTAATGTTTATTAGTTGTTTAACTAATACTTAACTATTGAGGTATTATAAACACTTTTTTTTATTACGCAGACAAAACGTCTATTTACAGACGTTGGCTCCCTTAAGGGCACACTAACGAACGGACCTCACACCTAGCCTCTCGTAAGTCTCACGGATGCGAAATGGGGAAGCCGTTAAGCAGGCCGCGCGGTTTACGAGCGCTTACGGCATGCTATCCGCTAAAAAACCCTGCGAATATCCTCTACGCTATGTTAAGTGCGAAACCGCGAGATCCCCGTCGAGGGACTTCACCGCGTCAGGTGTTGTAAAACACTGAGCAAATTGAAATATTCTATACTTAAATTGTTTCGAAAAATAAGTTATACATTAACAAAAGAAAAAATAAAACAATTCAAAAGAAATAACCGAGCTCAGGATCAAACCATCGATCATTTGGTGTCGACACAGAAGGCCGCTCGGCCTACCTATCTTGTGTCAAATACTCCTCTTCCGTTTCATCGAATATCAAATCACAATGACACTAAAGAAGTTTTCACTTTAAAAATATCAGATTGTCTTTGCAGTTTGCAGAAAACAAGTAAAAAAGGTGATAGGTAGACCACAGCACATTTTCCGTATGTCGTAGCGCCTTCGCCCGTCTGGGGAAGCAATCCTCACTTTTTGCAGGAAAAGTACACCAAAGTAACTTCTTTTTACAGTGTCTTCTGTGTGCCTTCTGTGAGTAAAGTTTCCAATGCTTTACGGGGTTGGGGTGGGGTGTGTGTGATATATATGTATGATATCGCAAAAGTATGGTGGCCGCTTACCATCGAAATCAAAAAATTTTCGACCTCAAACTTTTTTTTCAGTGATCTATGTTGATTGCCAACCTTTTATTAACTAGTAATATCGCTAAAGACACCGCATATAATATATTATTGTAACTTATACGAGTATGTTCTTCGCGAGTAGCTATACACGGTCTAACGAAATGTGTAAATACATTGAAAGGTTCTTCTGCATGCGTTTACAGGACAATAAAGTTTTATCTCAAAGGATTTTCCTCGCTTCGGAGGAAGCAGGTTATAATTTTATTCAACGAAATCTTAAGGCGACTACAAAGTTCCATTTTCCGCGACAGCTTTAGCAAATCGTTTCTTTGCCCGTACCTCACTTCCTACAAAGTTATTACAAGCCAAATTTAAGATTTAACGGTTCTAAGTATTTTTCATTGAGTTCTTGTGATCAGTCCGTCATAGAGTTACTTTATGTCTCTTTTAGGTTTTGTTACCGTCAGCCGTATCTCATGAAGCGTATCATGAAGAGAGAAAATTTATAATTTCTACAATCTTTTTTTCAAGCATGTCTACAGTATTTCTCTATGATGGGGTTGGCAATACTGAGTCAACCGCAGGGAGACCAATCATTTATCTAAGTTTGCCTTTTTAAAAAACGGTGTGTCTGTATTTGCAATAGCTGTAGGTTTTGTAAATATTATTAACCTTGTACGATGGTAGGTAACGATGGTAGAATAACCGTTCGTGTGCGTTTCCAACTTGCACTTGGTTGTATATTTTAATCTAAATATATCTTACGTCTTGATAAATGAAAATTGGACTTTTTATAATTGGAAACATCTGTAAATATCCAGCTGTATGCTATTTCTTAGTATAAAATAATTTACCTAATGTATTCTTAAAGTGCTGCATTAAAACCACCTGCGTAGCTTCAAATAGAAATGTTTGTTATATAGAATATTTTCTACTTTAATCTTTCTCTGTTTAAATTATACGTTTAAACCTACTAAGTATATATAAATATATATATATATATATATTTATAAATATATATATATATTTATACAGGTACAATCCGAAGTGGTATGTAATTTTGGTAATTTTATAACATCGTAATACTTATTTAGCTTAAATGGCCTAGCTGTAGTTTTATCCACACGATATAAATATTTTTCCGTAAGGTGCGGTAACGCTTTCTGCCAAAGGAACTTTGTGTTATTAGCAATGACGTCATGCCGTTTAATTACCTTCACGTACTTAGTGGATTCATTATTCGGTTAATCGAGGTGCGTGATTGATTTTTTAAAAATATTAATTAGATTAATTACTTTATAATTAAGACCCATTTTTACAACTAAACATTCATCACGTTAATGCGAATAGTTGTAGTACCATGGTTTTAGCGACGACTAGGTTTGTTGACTCCATTTACATATCGTGAATATATGTTTAAATAAATGCCTGTTTCATTGCTCCATCCATACTCAGAATTATGCGAGGGAAAAAGTTTATTCAATTTTTTTACATGGAATGAAACGCCGAGTAGGAACTTAATGAATGGAATGATACTTCACAATTTTATTGGAGGTAATTGAGTTCACGATTTATGAAACGCTACTACCACTATTAAAGCAATTAAAAAAGTAACTCGTCATCCTGTTAATGGTATGGAAACTTTGCGTAAAGACGTTGAAATTGTTAATTACTGACAATGTAATAATATTGTTAATAGAGTAGTTAACAACACCTAAAACGTTGACTAGTTTTGAACTTACGCAATAGGAAGTTTCACTCAAACACCCTGTGCGTACGTTTATATTCAGTCAGGAGACATCAAGAAATTCGAGTAATTTATTAGGTACTTTTAACGATGTACTGAATCATCATAACATGCTAATTAATCATTTGCCTGCAGTAATCAGACAGCATATTGTTCTGATGGCCACATTTGTTCTAATCAAAATAATTAATACGAATTTCGTGTATCAAATTTCGCATAACATTACAGCACAGTGAAATTAATGCCTACATACAGGTGTTACAGTCTATTTATTAAATTTAATATATCTCTAAAAAGTGAAGAAGGGTCGATTTTTATTATTGTATCATGACAAATAAATTAGATATTCGGTAAATTCGATAAGGCTTTAAAAGATATGTTTTAAATCAAAAAAGCCGCATTTGTAACTGTAAGATTATCTATCCTATCCTTGATGCAGCAGAATAGAAGCCTTATAGTTGTTATTATAGCTGAAGATGTCTATCTATTGAAAATATTACCAAAATAATAGTATTATCACCAGAGTACAGTTTGGAATCAGACGTATCTGTGCACGTTGCCTTTATTAGAACAGTCCTGGACAGAGTTTTATAAATTTTAGCTTAGAATCATCTCTATTTCATCAGCTTTCAAACAGATATACAGCATAAAAATTATTTTCGCAAGCTCTAAAGTTACTGACTTCAGGATTTAAGAACCTATTAGATCAAGAACTTTACCTTGAAGATAGTTATTGTTCTGAGCCTTTACACTTCGCTTAAACCGTAATGCTGTCTCTGTCATCTCATTAGTAAACAAAGGTGACGCTATAATTTTTCAACTGGGCTTAACTTTGTTGAAGTTGTATTATAACGAGGCTGTAGATTACATTTTGTTGCTTTTTAATTTGTTAAATGTTTACTTACTAAGAAACAAATACCATTATTTCTGCTTTTATGGACCTACCTACTTATCAAATAAATATTTATGATTTTATTTATTTTTTAAGCATTTAACTGCTAGCTGTTTAAATCTAAAGAAAGGTTTACTAGAAAAAGTTAATAGGGCCGTGGTAACATAATGGTCAGTGCATTCGCCCGGATAGCGAAGGATGCGGGTTCGAGTCCCGTCCGCTGCCTGGTCCGCGTGGATTTTTTTCTAGTAAACCTTTCTTTAGATTTAAACATCTAGCAGTTAAATGTTTTAAAAAAATAAATAAAATCATAGCTATAATTGCTATTTCTTCTTTCAAATGTTTAATACTTGAAAAAGTATTCATTTGACATTGTGGGTTACCTACAATGCGAAGAGATGGCGCTGCCTTGCAGCTTAAGGCTAGGAAAATTTCGACGCGGCTAATAGGGCCGTGGTAGCATAATGGTCAGTGCATTCGCCCGGATAGCGAAGGATGCGGGTTCGAGTCCCGTCCGCTGCCTGGTCCGCGTGGATTTTTTTCTAGTAAACATTTCTTTAAATAAATATTTTTCAGGTATATTCTGTTCTTTTAATCTTTATTAACAAAAGCATTAATATATACCCCTTTAGGGCACATTAATTTATTTAATGGAGTTTTGATAGGCCATGAAAATATTTATGGTTGGTAATAACGATGTGGTAATGTGATTGTCTATATTGTTTCAGGTAAAACTTGGATACCAAACCCGGCAAAATGTGAGATCAGAATGGTGCAGAATGTTGGAGATTAATGAAATCGAGTCCAGCAATTATGTGCCGAGTACACCGATACCTGGACCCTTTCTATTTAGCAACAAAACAATCGAAAATGTTGAGAACATTACGGTACCTACCAATTCATCATGGCTGGATTACGACGTCGTTTGCTCATCAGGAGCCGGCGATAATTTTCTCTCGACAACGATTTTTCAGACATGTGTTTTCATTATGTACAGTATAGTTTTCATAGTGGCTCTTATAGGTAACGGATTGGTATGTTTCGTAGTGCAATCATCACCGCGTATGAAAACAGTGACGAATTATTTCATAGTGAATCTAGCTGTTGGTGATATACTGATGACGTTATTTTGTGTGCCCTTTTCTTTTATGTCAATGTTGGTTTTGAGGTATTGGCCCTTTGGTGCGATTATGTGTAAAGTGGTGAACTATTCACAAGCAGTTTCAGTGCTAGTGAGTGCGTATACTTTGTTGGCAATATCGATAGATCGATACATGGTGATCATGCACCCCTTAAGACCGCGGCTGGGAAAAACTGCAGCAAAATTGGTCGTGGCTGGAGTGTGGGGAGGTGCGCTAGCTACTGCCGCTCCGATACCTGTAGTGTCACAAGTGCAGAGACCAACGGAATGGCATCGATTTTGCGGAACGTAAGGATTACAATTTATTATAATTTCCAGTTGATATGAAGGTATGCGTTCCTTGTTTTTATTAGAGCTTTACAGGAGACGTTAGAATTCACTACATCTTATATCAAATTTGCATTGTGTTTATTGCAATGTTTCGGAATGTGGAATATAAAACAAAATAATTAATTCGTTTCGTATGTTTTGATGATATTCCAATATAAAACATTTTATAAACCGTAATAAACTGAAAACATAATACTGTAGAGAGGCACATAATTATGTTAATTACAGTAAATCAGGCGCTCCGACCAACCCTTTTATATGAAATCATAACATTTTAAAGAAGGTATAAAGTTTAGATAAAGTCAATAAAATAAATTAACATTCAATGTGGAAATGTAGAGATACTAATGTCTAGGAACCCAAACTTGTTTAAGCTGCAGAACATACATTCAGAATTTATTTATTTGCATCACAAATTACCATAATAGTCCACTAAAATTAATACATCACAATTTGCGTCAAATCCGGTAGTTCTAATTTTTTGTTGACTTGTTTATGATGTTGGCCAAATTAATAATCTAAATTTGTGACTTCGATACTTATCCATAAAAGCTAGTTTAGCCACCTACAAAGCTGGCTTTGTATGTATCCCACATGCAATTGACGAACATCTTTTGGACACTGGAAAAGCAAAATCGCTTAAAACGCCACTTTAGTAACTTTACAAAAACCAGGATTAGTTTTTTTTTCACAAAAAATCATAACTAATTGTAAATTAGAATTACCGCCATAAAAATAAAAACATATTTTTATTTTTTTTTCTAAATATCCACCTTCTGTTATAAAGTTATATAGTGCCTTTACTTTACGAATTAAGTGTCACTTAAGAAAAAATCGCTCACTCGGCCCACCATACATTTTTAAGGAAACAATGCCTCGTCATTGGTTCAAAAAACACCAAAATGTATGTCGCTGCAGCGTTGTGAACAATAAAAATCTTCAAAATATTGAGTTGCCTAAGTGCCAAAAAGTACTTAAATCTTCAAGAAACATAAACAGATCGACGTAGAAAAAAGATCTGTACCCTTAGCACGAACCAATATCGAATTCGTAACGTTTGCGAGTCCGAAATGTCAATATCAAATGTGTACTGATTTTTAGTTCTCGTTACTTTGTGGTGCTGCTATTCAAGTTTCCATACAAAATTTGAAATTGACATTGAGCATCCGCAAAGGAGTGCTAGGAGAACTTATTAAAATGATATAATATGTAACTCATTTTCGACCAATGTGGCGTATAAGCCATTTTGCCCTCTTCACTGTCGATATAATAAGCAGGAGGTAGTTATCGCGTTTGGTCTGCAATCGTGGAGCTTTCGCATTGGTCGGTTATTAGATGGGTGACAGTCATTAGCACCCACCAATCCGCACTGGGCCTGGGTGGTGGGTCGCGGCCTAAGGCCGTATACAGAAAGAAAGCTGGAAGCCGACCAGCGCTTATGAGCGCTGGTCCTTACTGGTAACAGTTACATAAAGGAAGCAGATTGAAGCGTAGTTGTTCATAAATTTCAAAGGGCGGTGCCAGCGCTGACCAGCGCGTATCGAAGACGACGGCGACGAAGGCGACGTTCGGCGTTTATCGGTGCTGGTCCATAGAAATGTCTGCGCCGGTTACCTGCGCGAACCGGTTCCTATAAGCCCTGGTAGGCTACCAGCTTTCTTTCTGTATACGGCCTTACTCCCCATTTCATCCATAGGGAAGGCCTGGTCCCCAGTAGTGGGTACATTAACAGGTTTATGATAATGATGATAACCTGTAACTGAAAACGTGTAATATTTTTAGGATTCCTTATCTCAAAGGGATAAAACTAAACCATTATAGGATCACTTTGTTGACCGTCTGTACGTCCGTCCGTCTGTCTGTCAAGACCCTTTATCTCGGGATAGCGTGGAGGTTTCGAGTTATTTTTTTCATCTCTGATATAATCTGCAAGAAGATTAGTACTACTATAAGCGGATTTGTTATCGTGTGTGTAGTCGAGCGTGGAGCGTCCCCCAATGAAGACGTCCTCATAAGTATTATTTCAAACTCATTTGTGAAGCTGCATAATGTGCTTTCGATTTAGGCGCTTGGTGTAATTTTGTTTAGCTAGTTTGACTGCTAATGAGTTGTGATTTTTTATTCGCTTTTGATATAGGATATCAGTTATTTGGATCGCCTCTTTTACTGTAGGGATTTTTTAGATTGTTATGAATCTCGCTCGCCCTCACCCGCACCCTTCGCCATCCGGGCGAATGCACTGACTAATTATGCTACCGCGACCCTGACGGCCGCGTCGAAATTCATCTAGATATTCTTAAGCTGCAAGGCAGCGTCATCTCTTCGCATTGTAGGTAAACCATTGTAGGTGGTCAGTGCATTCGCCCGGATTGTGAAGTGTGCGGGTTCGAGTCCCGTCTGCTGCCTGAACCGCGTGGAATTTTTCCTAGTTACATTTTCCTTGGATTTAAACATCAAGCAATTATAAGCTTAAAAAATAAAAAGAATATAACTATAAAATGCTATTTCTTCTTTCAAATGTTTAAAACTTGTAAAAGTATTCATTTGACATTGTGGGTTACCTACAATGCGAAGAGATGGCGCTGCCTTGCAGCTTAAGAATAGCTAGAGGAATTTCGACGCGGCCGTCAGGGTCGTGGTAGCATAATTGGGCAGTGCATTCGCCCGGATTGCGAAGGGTGGGGGCTTGAGTCCCGTCTGCTTCCTGGTCCTCGTGGTTTTTTTTCTAGTTACATTTTCTTTAGAAATAAACTTTTTTTTGTAGATCAAAAATTTGTTGTTAATTGAAAGTTTGTTGTTACGTCCCATCAACCAATGTAGGTATCTACACTTGATGTTGAGCGTTTCTCTTTTAGCTTTGAAATTAATGAAAAACAGTTATTTTGGAGGTTCCCAATACTTAGAACTAAAACTCAATTTGTTTTTCATCAATCCCATACGTGTTGGGTGTCTTTGGGTAGGTATTCAAAAATGATAGTGAGGTTTCTAATATCATTTTTTTCTAAACTGAATACTTTGTGCGAGAGACACTTCCAAAGTGGTAAAATGTGTGCCCTCCCTGTAACTTCTAAAATAAGAGAACGATAAAACTAAAAAAATGTGATTACGTGCAAACTTTCACCGACAATTGGTTTGAATGAGATTTAGTAAGATTTTTTTATACGTCATAAATCGTAAACCGCTATTTAGCTTTCATTCAATCAACTCAAATATAAAAATAATATTTAATTTCATTAATATACATAAACCATGGGCCATTATTTTTTAACCCTAACAAGAACTTTTATATTATGTTATTATTATTATTGCTGCTACAGAACCCTTCATAGGCGAGTCCGACTCGCACTTAGCCGCTTTTTTCTAAGTGTGAATGTCACCTGCACTGATTTACTTGCACTGGCTTTGATTTTCATCATGATTTTGATTGGATGCAAAAATGGAAACCATTTTTGCATCCAATTTGATACAGAATCAAGGCTTTTCTGCAGGGTGTTTGTTATTTGTGGATCTTTGTTGATAGCAAGTATGGCAACGCCATCAGCGAAAGTAGCGGCGGTGGCATTTTATATTTGAGGCAGATCTGAGGTAAATATGAGGTACAGTATTAGTTCCAGTATTGATCCTTGGGGACTCCTGTTTTATTTCAAAGAACGCTGAAGTGGAATCTGCTTTCTTGACCTGGAATAGCCTGTCAGCAAGGTATGCTTGTAACAAGAGGAAGTAACCGTGACGTAGGCCAATCTGCATTTTACACAACAATCCACTATGCCAGACCCTGTCAAATGCTTGTTCGATTGAACAGTATTCTGTATTTTCAAATGCTCCTCTTATTTCATGGCAAACTCGATGCATCTACTCCTCTGTGGAGTGCTGCCCTCGGAATCCAAATTTTGTGATCCGGTATTATATTATTTCCAACAGGAGTACAGGAGTTATAGGATGAAGATTCCTAATAACAATTCTAAAAAGCCTTTCATTCTTCTTATTAAAAGTGTGGCTTATAGGACTTTTTTCTCGAACTGTATGGTAATAAGTTTTTTGTAGACTTCGATTTTTGAGCAGTTGATTCGAAGTTGGTTTTTGTTAATGATTTTGTATGAGAACACTGCTTCTCCAGCTGCTGATTCCAACAGTTCATTAAATTTACTTACCTTTTTCTACTTCCAAAGCCTTTCATCACACTGACGTGTAACTGCGTACATGACAGGCAACCAGTGCTCACTCACATACGCGCGCGCGTCGTCGCTTGAAGTAGTGAAACGACGCAGCGCGGTTGTATGAAGCTTTGTCTCTGTAAGGACTGTACGTTTCTCTACTCATATGCTGTTACTGCCATACGCCTGTGGAATGCTTTACAACTAAGCATTCGTACTTAGTACCTAAATAAGATGGAGTTCAAAAAAGTAGTGCGTGAACACTACCTGACTACTTTGAAGTGAAAATGTCTTTAGCGGCGTTGTACACTTTTTTGTAATGGTTAAAAAATGTTAAACTCGCGTCAGGACACGTGACCTGATCGAAAATTCGTAAGACGGATGGAGAGTGGACAGCCGGCGCGGCGTAGGAGAGGAAGTATCTCCCTCTCTTTCTACGGCGCGGCGAAATTGTATGCCTGCGCCTGCTGTTTCGTTTAGGCGGCGCAGGGCGCTTGCGCGAATGTTCGTGTGTTTATGTTACAGCTTGCCACGTGCATCCATGGATGGTGACAGCTGATGGCTCGACCGTCTGTGTAGTGGCCACACTGCTGTGTATTCGTAAAATTCGTGTATATACAGTTTTACTGATAATTAAAGCAATTCGTATAAAATATCAAAAATGCACAACGGTAATATTTAAGTTTTCACTTCCGCCGGCACTCCCGGAGTGCAACCCGTCGTTTTTTTTCTATAGTTTGCAACTATTTTGTATTTATTGTAATTTATGTATGTATGTGAGCTTTTTTATATATGAGGAGCTGGCGAACAAAACGGTATAATTACGCATTTAGTGTTGACCAAATAATACTTTCTTTTTACAGCCCGAAGGTTTCGGGCTAGCTGAATTTGAATTTCAACTCATGTCAATTAAAACCTCCAAAATTAGTGTTAAAATTACTAAATTAAAAATCACGCCAAAAGCTCAGTGTAGGTATGTCATTTAGTTTTTTACTCCTCCTTTAAAATTTAATTTCATGTAATTATACCGTTTTGTTCGCCAGCTCCTCATATGTTTTAACTTTAGTATTTAAGATTTTTTTTTATTTGCGTTATCTTGAATTTTATTTTATTTTTTTAACTTTGCGATATCGCCATACCATTTGTCTCCAACACTTACTGATTTACTGGTAGAGAATGCCTATTTTAGTACACGGTTTGCATTATGTATGACTATATAAAAAAATATATTCTAAGTAAAGGTTAAAAATGGCCGTTTATATTGTATGAAACCCTCAGTGTGCGAGTACGAATCGCACTTCTATATTTTTTTATTATACGTCTAAGTCCATTTCAAACTTCGCTTTTAAATGGTTATTTTGCGAATATTTCTTCTGTATGGTTATGAAATCAATATTATTTTCGAGATGTTTTATTAAAAGCTACTTGAGTGTAGTGCATATTTGAGGGGTCCGACAAAACACTCCATCAATCCAGGACAAAAATACTCAAATACACAATTCCATTATTATTATTCCATTCGGTTATTTTCAGATACCTAACAGTGAAGGTTAGAAAACATAAAGTTTAATTAAATCCAAATTAGAAAATGATATTATTGAAGAGAGAAACAAGCCATCTTGTGTTTTAAAATTACTTTAAACTTAAACTAATATTAAATAAAGCTTAAGAGTAGAGAAACAGCAATAAAAACGTTGTAATAACGGGGGGAAATATTGCATTTGAGAGAGGTAAGTTAGGTTTCTTGTCCACTAGTTCCCATGTTTTATTATAACTCAAAGTTTTTATTTCGGCATATATTTAAATGAATAAAAAAAAATTGTAGTATATCCTAAAAAAAAGAAATGGCAACTTTAGGTGATCATTTGTTATTTTATTAAGGATCATATAAATATTTCCCGTTTATTATAAAAGACCCCATGGGCCCAATGGCCAAAAGTTCATAGATGAGGAGCTACAGCGTGTCAAAGTCGAAAATGTACGGCTGTATAATGTTTCTGTGGAACGTGAATTAAGAAATGGTTTTGGTGATGTACACATATGTTTTTCGGGTCACTGAATTCGAATTCAGAGTCTTTATGATCCAGTCGGGTCAGCATCAAGGTCAGTTCAAGACTAAATCCAGAAAAATACTTCCAAGGTGGTGAAAATACATACAACCGAATGTTTTCTGGGTTGCTGAATCCAAATCTGATGTCTGCTCGTCACGATCAGCTCGGGATGAAGGTAATTTCAAGGTGGAATCGAGAATAATACTTCCTTAGCGATGAAAACCCACAGATTCGTATATCTTCGGGTCACTGAATTCGAATCCAGAGTCTGTTCTATCCAATCGTATCAGCATTAAGGTTAGTTCAAGTTCAAATAGAGAGAAATACTTCCAGGCGGTGGATATTCACATATCCCGATCAGATCAGGATGAAGGTCAGTTCACGGTCAAATCCAGGGACATCCTTGAATGGAATAGCTACATTGAAACTAGAATGAAGTAAGCTTTTCCACGAACGAGTAAGTTTCAGAACTTCATGAATTCAGAACGTGAATTCAGATTCACGTTCTGAATTCATCAGAAACATTATACAGCCGTACATTTTCGACTTCGACACGCTGTAACTCCTCATCTATGAACTTTTGGCCATTGGGCCCATAGGGTTTTTTATTCCACGTGTCATGAGCTAGCATCTACCAAAGTTACAGAAAAATTGGCCGAGAGCCAGCTTCCATAAGGATTCTGCGGGGTCATTAGTTTGAAATCTGTGTTCTAATTTTAAATCACACCGCGGCTTTCGAGGTAAAAGCGAGTATGTTCTTACAGAATAGCATAGCAGGTAGGGTGGAGTCATTTATCGGACCTTGTATTTTTTGTTATGAAAACAACTAGTTTTATATAAGTTAGCAGGTAAGTTAGTTTTTAAAAGGTATATTTATAAATGTTGATTACAAATAAGAATGGTTTTTCTTAAAAGACAAGTACAAATTTACAAGAAAAAAAACAGCAAATGTTTCATTATGAATATGTTAGCATAATAATATTCAGAATGTATAATATATTACCATAATCACTAGCTGGAATGTGATAATGCTCGTAAATCCATGCTGCGTGCGTCAGTTTTTAGGGGCCGCGCCGTCTGTTTGCGATAACATGTTTGAAGTCTAGACAAAATTTATCTACATAATGACCCAAGCATAAAAGCTCATAAAAGCGCATAAGTATTAAATTTTACATTGCTTTCAAACTTTTCCTTGAATTCCTTGTTAGATTATGGCATTGGAAAAAATGAAACGCTATCATTTTTTCCATAACTCACACGACACCGCACAACACGCAATTATTTATTTTGAGACTGTTGTTTCTGGTACTTATTTTTACGCACTAAAGCTCGTCCATATAATTTATTTTGGGTGGAGGCTACCGACACAGAATTTCCCCTTCACATGGAAATAAAATAGCATTTCCACAAATACACTGCCTCAAATAACACTACGGAAAATATGTTTTCTCTGAGATGTAGCGTTTCGTTGGTCGCTCGTACCCGTTATCGAAAGCTGTAAGAAAAACTTTTGTGTCAATGAGAATCCGTAACGATTTTAGTTGAAAATGCAGATTTGTAGAGCTAAGGATTCCATAAAATACAATGGTTAAGTTTTTGTTCTACGACAAGTATTGACGAAGTAATGACCAAATTACTAAACGAATTTTCGGCTGGCCGCGTGGTGCCTGTGACGTCACAAAGCTCTAGCGCTCAGCTCTAGCGCTCGAACACGAGTGTGCGTAGAGACGCTACTAAAGTTCGACCAGAGCGAACCACAATCGAGCTCTGTGACATCACACGTTTCTGCCGCTGGCGAATATTGACTACCATAAAATCGCAACGAAATAACCGATTTCGATGATTTAAAAAGTAAATTAATTAAAAAGCTTATTAGATCTTTATACTGTTGATTTTGAGTTGATTTGCTGACTTAGTAATCCTCCTCCTCCATCCTCATTTGTATTCTGTTATTCACACATAAAAGGGCCCAAACTACGTAACAATTCGATAATTTACATATGGATGTTCCCAGGGACATTTGCTTGGAGGAATGGGAGCGTCCAGAGCAGAGCGAGCGGTATACGTGCGCGCTGTTGGCGTTCCAGTTCTTGCTGCCTCTCAGCGCACTCATTTGTACCTACGTGAGAATAGCTCACGTCGTCTGGGGTGGTAGACCTCCAGGTGAAGCACAGTCAGCCAGGGACAACAGGATGCAGCGGTCGAAACGAAAAGTAAGTTCATGTTTCTACGTGCTAATTAACATTAGATAGGTATGCCATAATCATTATTTTTACTAATGTCCCAGTGATGGGGCACAGGCCCTCCTTAAGGATGGAATAGGGCCATTACCCACCACACCGGCCCAGTGCCGATTGGTGGACCAACAGTTTAACGTGCCTCCCGAAGCACGGACGATCTCGAGACAATAAGTTTTTTGTCACCCATCCAATGACCGGTCATTGCAAAAGTTGCTTAACATCCAAAGATCGTTAACCGAACGCGCTAATCACCTGCGCTATCGAGCTCTTCGTGGTACAAAGGGATTCTTTCAGAGTTACCATCATATACCGCATCATATACCTATATACCGCATGTTTATCATAATTTGAAAGACTGATGAATTTATAGTAGAGAAACTCGTTACTAGGTTATTCCGATGTGGAATATGAATTCTAATTTAATTTAATCTCCGGTTGCAGAGATCCAATTACAAAATATATCTCGCAGCATTTCTTTAATTTAATTCCCTTAAGAGGCTTTGTTTTTCGTGCAATATAATATGAACAACAAAATAATGCTCTTCTTAATTTTTACCCTGTAGTGCGTTTTCGTGTTTATAATGTACATATTCTTTTGTATTTACTGAAATACAAATTTTATGTGCAATAGAAATACGTTTCACGCGCATCACTCATTAAACGAAATGTCAGATAAATAAATACAGTGCATATAACCCGTAAATATCGTTTCGTTTAACAATTTTCTGTCAAACTAAGCCCAACCTGTCTGCGATAGTGCCCTCTAGACACTCTTTCTATTGAAGAGGAAATGCAATAAAGAAATGAATGAATAAGAATACATTATTAGCATTAAACGAAAAATACACTCTAAATAAATAAAATAAAAAAAGTAAAATATGGCGAGAATTTTAAAAGTTATCTTGTACAATGCAACTGACTTCAGACGTTTTAATTTAATAATAATAATATTTATTTAGACCGGCATATAAGTAACATTACGTCTTATAAACTATGGACACCATATATGAGCTTAAGAATATAAAAGACAATCTTTAGCGTCTGCTGCCGAACTAGGATTTTCATCCTGTATTTCAGCATAAAATATTAATATTTTATGCTGAAATATTAATTTAATTTTTTATTAATATTTCAGCATTTAATAATAAAATATTAATTTTAATATTACAATGAATATGCAGTCATGCATGTATCAGCCTGAAATTGAACCGATGTTTTTCGCTATCCTGACAAATGCTACGACACAAAGAAAAAGCGCCTAGTATATCCTAATCTGCAAGTCAAATAATGTTTTTGAACCCTTTAAGTTTTGAACATTTGGAAGAAGAAAATAATAATGCAGTTTTACCATTCTTTGCCAGATTTTTATATCTAAAAGAAAAGTTTATGAATGGCTAAATTAACTACATCGCAGTAACGGGAGGGCCCACGAAACCTTTTTTTTTAATTTCAAGATACAATTATGGTAATAAGAAAGGACCACCAGGCTCATTTAACAAAGCTTTATTGTTTGGAAAATATTTAATAGTATATACCATTAAGTTAGGTATAAGAGTTATAAAGTGTATTACTTGTTACAACCTCCGATTGCTTTGTTTCATGGTGAGACAATAATGATAAACACACACTTATCTATCATCAACAAAAAGAATATTTGATTTTGATACGATAGCAAACTAATATTCCCAACTCAATTAGAGTTAGGGTTGCCAGATGCGTGCTTATCAATTTCTCGACATTTATAGTTCTAATTCTAGTTTACAATTTGCACCACCATCCACCTCCCCCCCTACCCCTTTGAATTGAAAAATCAAATCAAAATCTAGGGAAGTGGCTGTCATTGCCCTAGGGCAGGGGTGCTCAAACTTAAAGTGCTGGCGATCTACCTCAAAATTTTTAGACTACTTACGATCGACTCTGAGAGGCTAAAAGTATGTGTGATACAGGGTTGTATATACACGGTACACCCCATATATATATAGCATATTTAGATATTAGCAGTCGATTGCGATCGACCGTTTGAGCACCCCTGTCCTGGGGTGAATACACCCCTAATCTAAGGTTTATGTTTAGTAATATTTTGAAAAAACTAGTGTTCGGGGATTCCGGGATAATAAGTGTAATGACTCGGGACTAGATGCCAAATTCCGGGACTTTTCTGGATTTCCCTCCCATCTGGCAAACTTAATTAGAGCACAAAACTATAGTTTTTGTTCTCAGGCTTGTATTATACACAATGAATTTCTTTATATTGTTAAACAAATACTAATAATAACAATAAACCTTCCATGAAAATTTATTTAACTGATAGTGAATATTTTGTTGCGTAATAGGACCCTTGTGCTTAAATGCACAATTCGAAGGCAATAATGGTTCGATTTGAAAAAAATATTTTTGTATTGAATGAAAAGTTGAAAGTGCATTTATTGAGGAAGGCCTAACCTCTGTGAAGTTAGCTCCCCACTTTTTGAATTTTATTATTATCTAGGTTGTTTTGGATTGTTCTATGTTTGTTATACATTGTTCTTTTTTTTTTTTTTTTTTTTTATAGTTAGGTCCGACAAATGACTCCACCCCACCTGATGTTAAGTGAAGGTGAAGTCCAGACGCGAAGATAGCTGATACAGCAGTTCTACCTGCCACACCAGCCATCCTCACCCTGCCGGCCTGCATGTTGCTTCTTCACGCCTCTTTTAAAGGATCCCAGGTTGTAAGAGGGAGGGAACACGTGAGCGGGCAGAGCATTCCATTTACGGATAGTGCGACAAAGAAATGAGTCACCAAATTTCTTTGTACGTGTTGGAATTGTGGCCACAGTAAGACGGTGACAACGTAGGCCAGCGCGCGTGGTCCTCTGAAGGAAAGGGGAAGGTGGGATAAGAGAGAATAACTCCTCAGAACACTCGCCGTGGTACAAACGATAGAACGCGCTTAGTGACGCCACGTCACGGCGTAATTGAAGAGGCTCAAGGTGTTTAGTCACCTCCTCATCGCCTATGATGCGGATCGCGCGCCGCTGTAACCTATCCAAAGCATCGAGCAAGTACTTGGCGGAGCCATCCCAGAGGTGCGAGCAATATTCCACGCAGGACCGCACTTGCGTTTTGTACAACAAGCACAGTTGATCGGGCGTGAAAAAACGCCGCACCTTGTTCAGGACTCCGAGTTTGCGTGAAGCTGTTTTGATCACGGTTTCGATGTAGTCCTTTGGATTCAGGTCTGAGCGAACTTCCATACCGAGCATGGAAATGTTGCTCTGCAGCGGTAGGTAGTGTTGTGCCCTGAAGAGATGGAAGGGGAAGGAATGGCGATGTTTTTGCCGTGAAAGCGCAAGCCTGAGTTTTCTTGGCATTGAACCCAACCAAGTTCCTGGTACCCCATTCGGAAATGTGGTCCAAAGCCTGATTGAGTTCAATGACAAGATTTTCCCGTTTCTCCCTGGTTACTGCCTGCCCAGCCGCTGCTTGTCCGAGATACCCCGCATGCACTGTACTATCGTCTGCATAGCAATGAATATTCCCAAGAGGAATCAAGTCATTGATATGCAGCAGAAAGAGAGTGGGGGATAGGACGGAGCCCTGGGGAACGCCGGCATTCACTGACATGAACCGCGAACTGCTACCATCCGTAAGGACACGAATTCTACGCTCATGCAGGAAGTCAGCTACCCAAGAACAGAACTGGGCTGGCAGACCGTATGCCGGAAACTTGGAGAGAAGGCTTTTGTGCCAGACCCTGTCGAACGCCTTGGCAATGTCAAGGCTGATAGCCAACGACTCGCCACGCTTGTCGATAGCCTCACCCCAGATATGAGTTAAGTACGCTAGAAGATCACCCGTCGATCGTTTCGGTCTAAATCCATATTGACGATCATTAATCAGGGAGTGATCCTCTAGGTAGCGGGTCAGATGGTTATTAAGGACCTTTTCTAGAACTTTACATAAAACTGAGATGACTGCTATTGGCCGATAGTTTGCCGGGTCTGAGCGATCCCCTTTTTTGGGCACCGGTTGCACGTTAGCATCTCTCCAAGTCTCCGGCACACGCCCCAAAGAATACGAGCATTGGTACAAGCGCGTGAGCACGGGAGACAACTCCTCTGCACATTTTTTAAGTACTACTGCTGGGATGCCATCAGGTCCACTAGATTTCCGGACGTCGAGTAATTGCAATTCGGCACGAACCTCACGCTGCCTGATTTTAATATCAGGCATCGTTGTGCCACAGTGAAGTAATGATGGTGGCAGTGCATTGCAATCATCGATTCGGGAGTTAGCCGCAAAGAGTTTTGCCAGTAAATCGGCTTTCTCCTGCGGCTTATGAGCTAGTGTTCCGTCTGGGCATCTCAGAGGTGGCAGAGGTGTTCCAGAGTATTATTTGGAAAAACTAAAATTTGGAGCTGCCAGACAAAAAAAAACGTTTTTCTATGGTAGCCCCTCATGTTTGGAAATTAAATATATATAGTTTAGTTGTTCCAAGTTGTTTTAGTTGTTCCTAACATTGTTCCAAAGTTTTTTTTGAAATAACTCAAATATATAATATTACGCTGCGACCAATAGGAGCGAAGTATCGATATTAAATGTTGCAAAAACGGGTAAAAATATTCCAGTTGGGAGATTCCGTTGCGTGCGCTGCGTAAATGATTAAAGTTACACAAAAATCATGTATGACGGAATTGTTCCCTTTTAAAAGTTCTATAAACACATATAGACTACCTTAACTTTTAAGATTGACTTACTATCACCTTTTTCCTCAAATTAACGCGGGTGAAACCCGCCTTTTAACATTAAAAACAACCTTTAGTTCTAACATAACTGTATAATAGAGATATTTCTGTCTTCTATAAAACTTTACTACATCACTTTGCTCTATTATCAATGACTACATAGCGTAAGCGATATAAGGTTATTTTTTGGTATTTTATCACACACTTTGGGTTACATTATCGAATTTTTCATACGGAACCCTAACTT